ACAAACACCTGTAGGAATATTCCTGAAACAGTCCTCCAGCTTACAGATTGTTTGACTTTCAGGAAACCTCCCGTTCAGTTGTTCCACCTATAATTAATGACACACATGTGTGGTGGACTAGTGATTACGTTGGTACACTGGTAGAAGAGAACTACACCTTTGACTTGAATGTCACTGAAATTTTCAAAAAAATTGCAAGTACATGTAATAAATTAGCCTAGGCTACTTACAGAAAAATGCAGCGGATATAAGATTTTCTTATACCCTGGAATATTTAGTGGCATTAAATTATTTTCTCTTAACTAGTATCCCACTGGAATCTGTTTATTTGACACCCTTTCTATATGACTAAACTTGGTCAAGGTTTTTTGTGATATCTTCAGTTTTGTTAGTTAGACTCAACTATAAAAATTTAACTATGACACAAACATCAAAGTCCAATGAAATATCCATGTTTATGATTAATTTTCATTAACTTCCAACAGTTTCCTCCGCAAACTGAAGACGTTCCTGCAACAGTTGTGGTTATCTTTGGTGGCGGCAGACAGGAGATGAACCATCTCCTTCCCTGCCCTTTTACCCCTTAACCCTGCATCCAGTTGGCTCCGAGTTATTACCACATGATCTGAGAGGGAGGGATACAAATTTAGACCTCACACCTAATATACGAATAGAGGACATAACGTTTCCCTCATCCTGGACGAACACTCTGACCAAACCTCTCCACACCAAGGGAAAATATACACACTCTGACATAGACACACAGGGTTTTTTTTTTAGGAGCTATAATTAACTTCAACTCCGGTACAGCCGATTGTGATGGAAACAGTGGTTGCATGCAGTACTTAGCTGTCAACTTTGAGATGTAACTAAGTATAGTTCACACTAGAGCCTTGTTGAGCAGGTTCAACAAGCGTTACATTTGTGTAATTAAGGACGCTATGACCTTGGAGGGAGCTGCTTTATTAAAAATTAATTAATCCAGCAGCAAGAGGAAAAAAGTGAATAACCTCTGCTTGACCTTTAAACAATGACTTAAAAAGCAACCTGTATATTAAAGAATAGAAAAAGACTGATTTACCCGTTTGTCATTGTTGACTTTTATTTCCAGAAATTTGCAAGGTTTTTTAAGCATTATGCAAAATACAGTATTTTTAATATGTATACATATATATATATATATATATATATATATATATAAAACAACAACAAATCAGCAGTTTTATTGAAAACAACAGCAAATTATTGGAATTTATTCAGTGTTTTAGTAGAGGGACAAACAGAAAAAAGGAGAAGTTTACGGAACAGGCAAAGTCAAGGTCAACAGCAACAATAATACTGAAGTACAGTAAAAGGGGACTAGCAGCCATACATGGCGTTTTCTTGGCCTCCTTACTACTGAGTAGTACAGAGTTTTGGGGCTTCAGCTGATGCAGTTCACTCCGTGGTGGGTTTTACTCGGCTTTCTCGTAGCGACGCATGCAAACCACGTCTCCGATTTTAAGTGTCTGTGGCAGAGAAATTAGAAGATTAAAATCTGAAAAAACACAACACCTATACGTGTTAAATATATTGTATGATACCTACCAATGTGAGCTTGTTTCCGTCAACTTCCCTGACCAAACTGGTCTCTTTACCGTCCCACTTCTGTACGTGTACCAGCTTGCCGTCCTCTACTGTCACTAGGGACTTTGGGAGGAAAAAAAAAAAAAAAAAAGAGAGACATTTAATACATGGAAATATGGAAACATAAATAAAGCAACATGTAGTCACTTGCTTTACTTGAGCACTTAATGAACTAAACAGACTTGAGTGTCATTTTAGTCTAAGCAAAATAATAAAAAAAATGTATTATGCTGACATAAATTAAGGTAAATTTTTCAAGCATTAGCTATGTTTCCATCTCCCATGAACCTTTGCTTTAAAATTAACAAGTTATCATTAAAAAGACACGCCAGTCAAAACTACATAAGCTTGGCAAAATAAATTACTTTTAGTCTGACTAAAATTTTAGATTTAAAGTCTCTACATTAGCTGTGCTAAGCCAAAACGATGTATATGTATACATTTTTCTATTTATGCTAATATTACAAATTAACTTTTTACTTAAACTTTCCTTCTGTCCTGAAGGAAAAACTATACTTATGAAATACCTTAAATGTAAATCTTGTAAAGAATACTGTCTGCTAAAAATGAAAAACAATGATAGCTAACGTTACCCGTGCTAAAAATTAAGCTCAAGTACATTTTAATTAATTGAACTTAAAATCTTCAGATCTTTGTAGCCGACTTCCATCGTCATAGGAAGGACCACAAACGGTGGGCAGAAAGTGTTTTGTTTCCCTATCCATCTTATTTTACAACAGTACTTATAAAAAGTTGCATCTGGCAACTTCAACGTTTCCTAAATTTGTAATTTCAGTATATTTTTCTAATGAGATCTATAATGTGCAACAGAAAAAAAAGTATTCATATCACATATATTTAAATTGTTAGCTTCTAGAGTCGATTACAGAACTGAAAAGCCTTTGACCTCTCACCTTGACCTTCCTGTCATCTGCGGTGGTCTCGTCAAACTCCTCTCCGACCTTAAAGGAAAGCTCCGTATTCTTAATACTGCTCTGGGTCTTCACGGTCACCGTGTCGCCATCCACAGAGATAATTGTGGTGGGTTTAGTCATGTTGCCTATCTTGCGTGTTGCAAAGCCCACACCTGAAGAAATACAGACAAATGCAATTCATCAAGGAAAGTAAAAAAAAACAAAAAACAAAAAAAAACAAAAAACATTTAAAATGCCTGAATACAGTTAGATTTGAGGCCGGCCTGCTAGTAATGCCAAGGCTGAAGGATTCTCCAGCCTGAATACCAATCTGCAAAGTTTATGTCAACAGTTTCCTGAAAACAATGATTTCAATGATTTTTCATAGGGATTTTCAGAGGAATTAATGTGCACCTTTATGTTTTTGCACAATCCCGTTACACTGCGCCATCCCACAGGGGTCTATACTGGGCCCCCCTTCTGTCTTTCTTAGCATAGGGTGCTGCTGAAGTCAATCTTTAAAGATCAGAATATTTCCTTTCATGACAACATGCAAATTAAGCTTCTCCTAAAAGTAAAAAAGAAAACTCTTAAAAGGATTTAATCATGGCTGGATATAAACTTCCAGTGTTTCAATTTAAAAAAAAAGAAATATTTGGTAAATTAGATTTTCAAAGTAAAGTTGATAGCGCTAACTTTGTGCAGCTGAGTTTTTAATGAGTGACTTGTTTTAGGATGTACTTTATTTTCCCTTCTTAACAGAGATGTATTAATTTATCTTTGTTAAATTAATACAAAGATGGCAGAGGATATTTTAAACCAGGGTAAAATGACTACATGCTAAAACCCAATAATTATGGGTGACTATTTAACAGCTAAATTGGCTTTAAAATTACACTTGGATAGCTGAAGCTCGTTCTGATGAAAAAGTCCAAAGTTAGGATTGGACGTTTTTAGGATCATATAAAAATCCAGAAGGCAGAGAGGAAAATGTTCAAAACAAAAATTGAGAGTATGAAGCAATAGCTGTATCGGCTGTTGAAACATGTTCTCCCGAAACCAATTCTTTTTCGTTTACAGATGATTTAGAGAAAGTCGGTGGGATCTGTTGATACAAGGTTAAGGCAGAAGCTGTGAATTTGGCCCCTGGGTGCCTTCAAATGGCACAATCTGTAATCTTTATTTGACTACTATCAGGCCTGGAGCATGTTCTTTAAACACAGTGGGGTCCCATTGACCCGAGTTCCTGTCTGGACATGAGAGAGAGCAACTGATTACTGACTTGCCTCTCAGAACGGGTGTGTGTGAGCATGAGGGATAAAAGAAGTTTATGTGATTGGGTAATAATGACTCACACCCTACTATACCGTAGTAGAAAACCTGCTCTCAATAAGGCTTACAAACAAAAAAAACGTGTTTGTGGATGGACTTGACATAGCAAGATGAGTCATTGATCCAACAACTGGGGTCAAAGGGTCAAAAAGTCCCATAGTTTCTGAGCTGAAAGAGCAGGCAGGTCAATGGTGGGAATCCTGTGAGGTCAAGGACCATCAATCTTCCTGACAAAGTCAAACAGCTCGTCACGGTTGTAAAATTCACTGCACCTGTTCCAGTACTGCATATGTGGAAGACTTTGCCGCCATGTTGTTATCCTGCAAACTCCATGATGTCGGAGTCATTTTCATATGCAACTCTCATCGTGGTGGCAAACAATGAGGAGCTTTTAGCTAGGGTCACACACATTATGCACAACTGTGTGTGTGTGGGTGTGTGCGCGCATGTGTGAAAGAATGAAAGGGAGAGAGACAGTTGCAGACCATTCATCGTCTTTACAGTTGGGGTTTTCTTTTCTGCACCAAAGGCGAACCCCTCCCTTACTCGCAGCTCTCTGGCCATGCGGTCCACCATTCTTCCTCCCCCTTTCTGGCTTTCCTCTTCTCCTGTTTGTTTTTTTTTCCCCTCCACACACCCACTCTTAAATCATATCCCCCCCTCTAATTATGCAATTAGGTTCCTCTCTCGTTTGATGTACCACAGTTATTTAATTTTACCCACGCTACCCATCCTCTCAGAGCGTTTAAAAGCTAAACGCAGATCTTTATCTTTATCTCTTTTGCCGCATGTGTTCACGTGCAGCGCTTGCATCCTCTCCCGTTTCGCACGCATGCGCACACGCTCGTATTGAATAAACGTGCACCGGACGAAAACAGAGAAATCCTCCTTACCCAGCTCTTTCATGTAATCATCAAATTTTTCGCTCTCCTTCAGGTTCCACGTGCCCACGAAAGCCTCGACCATGTTTGCAGCTGCGCAGTGAAACGAGGACGCGAGCCTGTAAGAGGGTTAAAGCAGTCAGCGGCGAGGAAGAGGAGCGGCGGAATGAGAGCGGAGGGAGACAGAAAGAGGAGAGTTTATTCCGCAGCTCAGGCCTCTCTGCGATCTGACTGGTCGGCTGCAAACCGGCTGTTCGTGATGTCACCCGCCCGGGAAGAGCAGAGCAGGAAAGGAGGTGGAGACAGTGCGCTGCTTGATACTGCATGTGCATGAGGTGATTTCTTTCGATTTTTTATTTTTTTTACCCCCCTGTTATTTATGCATTTAATTTATAAAGTCACTCAACTCTGACGCAGTGGTTTATTTAATCAAACCGCAGCGGTAGTGTTGGAAGTATGAAAGAGAGGATCACAGAGAGCCATAAAGAAACCCAAGCTAGGGGAATAAAGGGGTTAAAGGAGATGGGGAGCAAGAGGGTCGATCATGAATAAGGCTTCACTGTTAGAGACACAGACGAGGGAAGAAAAAAAAAAACAGATGGAGATTGAGCCCCTAGAAAAATGTCATGGCTGTCTTCTCAGATTCATTCTTGATCCTTCATCACTTGACAAATGTGTTTAATTCACATTTTTGTTGAATTGCATCCACAGATATCAGTGCGTTTTGTTGGATTGTATAGACCAACGAAATGCAGTGCATGGCTGGAAGGAAAAAGCACACTGCTATTCAACATTTTTTAAAGTAAAACCATTGAGAGTGTCACACATTTGTATTCACACCCCTTTACTCTGATACCCCTAAATAAAATCCTTCCTGAGATGTCAGTCAGTGAGTAAACCGAGTCTTAATTTATCCTGAGTATAAATACAAGTGTTCTGTCAAGGTTTCAGAGGTTTACATGCAGAATATTAATAAGCAAACAAGATGCAAAGAGAGCTTTAATAAGAAAACTGGTCAGAGTTTATATACAGAACATGTTAAGTAAGGGCTATAAAAAATTTGAGACAAGAGGGAAGCTTCAACTTCCAGCAGGATAATGGTCCTCAACATACTGGCATCGCTTTAATAATGGAAGGAGTTGGATCAAAGTATTTCTATGTGTCAAAACCCTGATCCAGATAAAAGAAAGATTTATTTTTCTCAGCTTCACCTTGTCTAGTCTGGCTGAGCTTGATCGATTTCTCGAAGAAGAATGGTTGACAATTTCAGACTCAGGATGCGCAAAGCTGACAGCAGTAACTGCAACAAACGATGAATCCGATTGGCTCAGGGGAGCCGAACACAACGGTATGCCACACATTTTGGATTTCTTTTTTGGGGGGGGTCCGTTTCTTTATATGTTGCAATGAGGCCCTGTTCTGTTTGGTCTATCACATAAAGTCCACAGAGAGTTTTGGATCTAACGTCACAAAGTGGGAGAAGGTGGCGGTATGAATACTTTTTTTTACCTGTAAGGGCATGACCAAAAGTGTTATTGTGTGTTTGTGTATAGACTTGGAAAGCCCAGGAATGCAGTGGCCTGTGGTGTTGAGGAGAGCTGTCATAAATATGAAGAAGATAGGGGCTCTGGAAGATTGGTGTTGCTATAGAGCTTGTTTTGCACCCACTACGTGTTTTTACTCTTGTGGAAGCAGGAAGGTGCTATGGAAGTAATTATCTGTTAGGAAGAAATGGATACAAACTTCGAAGAAGTGGGCAGACCAGTTAGCAAAGCATGTCCATTATGTTCTGACGACATAGTCGTCCATACAGTTGTCCTGGGTTTCACTCCTGGTATTGGGGCCATTTGCTGCATGTCTCTCTCTCTCTCTTTTTCTCTCTCCGCCCTGTTTCCTGTCAATATTTTGTTCAATAAAGGCCTGGTGCCAAAAATATTTTTAAAAGATTTGCTCTCTCTGAACCAAAGTCAGTTTGTATGTGTCTCATGTCTGTCCTCTTAAACCACTTGAGGGAAGTAGCCATTCATCAGAGGCATGGCCCTCTAACGTCACGCTGTCTTGCTCAGGCTGAGGTTTTGCACCAAAATGAAGATTCACATCAATCTGCAGGCTTCCCTACAAACACGGTTATTTATTGTATCCTAAATTACTACAACTCAACTGAACCCTGATTATTGGAGCTCTTCATCTTTGCTTTTCTTAGATTTGTGTTTCCCTTTCTAACCTAAACCAAATTATAACCCTAAAATCCCATTCAACCCTTCAGTCTGAATCTCTTTCTGATGAAATTTTTACCAGCAGCAGACTCACGGTCAGATGATCTCTAGAGGTTGTGCAATAATGACAGTAACTCCAATACCGCAGAGAGACGCACCAAAAGGGAATGGGTGTAAAAAAAAAAAAAAGTCAATAGTGAAAATTGTTACATCATCACATCACTCCATGTTATTTTGTCCACTACCCTTGCTGTCTCCTAGACTTGTTTTATTGCTGCAAGTGCGCTTAAAGTGACACGTATGTGTGTGTTTGACACAATGTGGCGTGAAGGAGCTTGATGGTTAATAAACAGGTGTGAGAGAGACGCATGAAAACATCTGAGGAAGAGCGAGAGGAGGTGAAAGGTTGACATTACTGAGATCGGGGTTCTCAACTCTCAGTCGTCCTTTTAGGTTTTAAAAGTTCTACAACACTGAGCACAAAAACCTCCACGTAAAGTGTGTTCGGTTCAGATGTGCACTGCTGAATGAGTAGGCAACTATTTTTTTCTCGCAGTTTTGACATTAAAATATTTTCTGATATAGGTCATTTGTGATTTGCTCAATAAAAGACTGAAATGTTAAGTTGCCTTTAGACATTTTTGCAAAAACCCAGGTGACGATAGTCTAAATTTGTAAGCTTAAACTGAATTAAGTGGGAAAGAAACTCGTTAAAAAGGCTGCTTTTCCTTGTGGACTCCACATGAAAAATCCCAAGAAAAGCATCAAGAAGAGAACTGCGGACTTCAAAAAGGAGAAGGGTGCTCCATGCACTTGTTTAAATAATTAAATGGATGTATAACCAGGATAACAATTTCTCTCCAGAGAACCCCTTTTTTTCAGAAAATGGTTGAGCTGTGTGACCCAGAGACTGCAATAATTTGGTGCTAAAATACAAACTGGCCTGCAGTGAAGAAAGTCTGCATTAGTCTGAAAGGCCACTCAGTGAGGAAGAAGACATGGCCCTAAAAGCAACATAAAAAGTCACATGGACTCAGAGTCAAGGGCTTCCATTTCTGAAGACATATCCTGTGGTATGATGAAACTTAAACTTAAGTGTTGCTCCATGCTGACCATTGCTGCAATTAAAAAAAAAAAAAAAAACTGGGAACTTGTACAGACCTGGAAGCATCTGGTTGTGTCAGTGTTTTTCCACAGGAGGGACTGTTGCATCTACAAAAAATATGACATAATAAGAGATTAAGATTATGTGGAAACAGCGGAAGTTAAACACAAATGGTGGATAATGACCATCGATGACAGCCAAATTAATTTGCAAACAAAGTCACTGTCATGGAGTGGTCAACCTTAAAGGTCTGATATTCATCCCATTGAAAATCCGACCTGAAAAGGTTTGTGGGAGCAATAGAGCCTTAAAATCTGACCCAGTTACATCGACTCTGTGAGGAGGAACAAGCCGAAATTACAGCAAGAAGAAGAAATTTAGTTCAATTTCAATTCTGACAGTGAAAAAAAACTGTTGGCGTTCATTTATGCAGTGTATGCAAACATCTATTTTCTCTCTAAGTGTGTGCTACTGATGAATATAAATACATTTTCACCTTTCAGTTGACTCTAAATTTGACAAAAGTGGGTGGAATAAACATCCACGCTGCTTTAGTTAAAGTGAGCACGTTCTCAGGCTGTCAGTAGCTTCACGAATGTGTTTCAACATGTGTGTGGGTGTGTGTTTGATCTTTTGTCAATCGCATGACAAAGTACTTTGAGGTTACAGGCTGGCCTTAAGTCAAACTGAAATGGATTTTCTCCTGATGCCTTTGAATATCCTCTTTGTGAAAGGTTACTCGCCGTGCATTCTGTGAACTTTGGCAATCTCACATAAGACATGGAAATTTATTGCTTTATGAGCGCTACCCAGTACGCGGAAAAACGTAGATAATGGGCTAAGATTTACATTAACTAATGTAACGTACCGAGCTGTTTGTGACCACTGCAAGCCCCAGCGTATCAGCTTGTATTGAAACAGATATGCTCCACTTGAGCTGGGAGTACATGATAAAATATGCTTTTCTCTGCAGATTCCTGGTGAAACTGTTGGTTGTTGATGCGATTATAGCCGCCACATATGCGATAATCTTGCAATAAATGAAGATATAAACATAACCGTAATTATTTCACTGAGATTTTATGAAATATATATATATATATATATATATATATATATATATATATATATATATATATATGTATATATAGAAGGGTTATGAGAAATGGGAAGATTATTTGAGTTATGATGAAAAAGGGGTATGATTATACAAGTTAAACTTCCTGATACTCCTTTTCAGACTCACAGTCACCGAACATGTGGTGTATTTACATGTCCTTGAGTACGTATATTTGGTAGCAAGGTATTGCGCTCTCTTAGAAAAATGAATGTTTCAGCACGTTGCCCCGCTGAAAGACGAACCTCCAGCAATGTCTCAGAGCTTGAGCTATTTTGCAAAGAAGGGTGGCCAACATTTTAGTGTCTTTGAGTACAGAACTGAAAGAGACAGACTCCTACAGATCTGCATCTGCAATGGGAGCTAAAGGAGGTTGTGCAAAAATATTTACCCAGAAAGGCTTAATGCAAATGAGTGTCACACTTCTTAGATTTTTATTTGTAAAGAAAATGGACTCATCTCCCATTTTGGTTTTATCCAGTACCTGGAATTACTCTATCAGAGAAAAACCCCTAAACAAAATACAAAGAAGTTTATTGCTGTAATGTGAAGAAGTCAAGGGAGTAGCAAATATAATCCAGCAGAAACTCACATAGCATGTTTTGCCTTGAGCACAGTAGGACCTCATCAAAGTCGCCTTTCGGCAGACACAGGCATAAAGCCAGGAAGGCCTTTCTTGCAGAAGGTTGCTGGATCCCTCAAGAGCCAAAGGAAGAGCATGGAGATCATACAACCAGGAATGTTGATATTCCTTCCAGATGTCTTACAGTTTTCCTGCGCATCTTTGTGGGACTGTGTAACACATGAGTGAGTTGACACCCTTTTCTAACACTAATTTATTTTCATGCTTTTTTTTTTTTTCTTTGTAACCAAACATCCGTTGTCGTTTTTCCTCCATGTGTCCATCTGGAGGTGAAGCAATTAAGAGAGTTAATTTCATCAATGAGGTTCAACGAGATGAACATCGTCATGTTTCTACATGGGTTGGACTGCATAATGAAAGTTTTAAACTGATGTTTATCCAAAGTGACTGAGTAGACCGCACCCTGACGTAATCTTTTATTTATTGAGGAGTTTCATTTCTCATGTGAAATGCTTCCTCAGAACAAAAACAACCTAAGAGTTGGGCAGTACGAGGCTTACTGTAAAGCCACCCAATTGGTTAAAAGTTCATTTTATTAAAGTGCCTTGCAAACGTATTCATACTTCTCAAAGTTTTTTATATATATATATATATATATATATATATATATATATATATATATATATATATATATATATATATATATATATATATATATATAAACATATATATATGTTTTTCATGCTGCAAGCACATTCTTGAAGCTACAAATTATTCTTTAGAGGCCTATAGCTGGTTACTGTGAAGTGGTAGGACAAGGATTTCAAAACTGTTTTCAAATACAAACTCGAACACGGTAGGATGTATTTATATTTTTAGATTTTTGTATGTGAAATATTCCACTGTAACTCTGGCTTCATGATTAAGTTCCTACTGCTCTTGGAATTAGGTTTTGGCCATGACTGGGCCATTCAGGAAGATGATGCACTGACCTAAACTATTTTCTGTTTTCGCTGGCTGTTTTTTTAAGGATTGTTCTCCTGCTGGAAAATTGACCTTTACCCCAATCTTTGGTATTTTACTCCCTCTACCAGATTTTCTTGCAGGATTTTCCTTGCTTTTATCTTCATCCAACTTCCCAATGCTTCTTGTGACACTGTTTCTTATCTAATATTCTCTTAAAAACATTTAAATAGAGGTGATGTTGACTACAAAGCGAAACAAGTCTTATCGCCTCTATTTGGAACTGTGAGCACCACGGCGTTCCTGTATTTTGATGTATCACGCCTCATTTGGCTGTGACGTGGATGGTGCTTTTGAATCATGTTCTTCAAAAACGGTGCAGGTTCACTGAACATCTGATCCGTTCACACTCCTTTCTGTACCGTTGTGAAAGAGTAACTGCATAAACTGCTGCTTTAGTAAATGTCAAAAGTTAAATCTAAAGAGCCCATGATATACCAGGATGTCCTAACGGTGTCCAAATCTTCAGTTTGGCAGTGTGGGTTGATGGAATATGCTATCTTTTCATGGTAGCACATGTTGGCTCAGTCAGGCTTAACGCACTGTTTGTGTATCTGTGCTTTGTGTCACCTCAGAGAGGTTTAAGATTACATTCCTTGATTTGCTTTGCAAATCCTCCAGGGAACCTGAAAAGATGGGGAAACAGAAAGAAGACAGTCACTCAAGGTTTTCCTGCCATTTGTTTTCTTTTCTTTTGTTTTATCTTTATTATACACACCATTCTTAGACGCAAACCTATGTAATACGTCTGCATACAAAAACTTTTAGCGCTTCCTGACATTCAGACTACAATTCCTTCCCAGATACGCCAGGCTCACTTACCCCCTCTGCTGGTGGTAAACTGGTAGTACAGTTTGTGTTTA